ACTCTACCTATATTGCAATCGCAGGGCAATCGGTAGAAAGTTTAGTAAAATCAGAGTTAAGAGAGGAATTTGAAGCAGAGAAGGCCAATTGGTTCTCACGAACCGACACTCCAGAACACAAAGCTTGTGACAAAAGAACACCAGTTTTATTTAAGGAAGAGTGGTCAGGGGCAGGAATAATTGGTCTAAGTAGCAAGACCTACTATTGCTTTAGCGCCTATGATAAGTTTAGTTGTAAAAGTTAACAAGAAAACAAACGACATTAACAAGGAAAAATATCTTAATGTTCTGTTGACCAAAAAGAGTTGTGCAGGATTAAATAAAGGTTTTCGGGTAGTCAACAATAGCATGTACACTTATGAACAAGTTCGAGATGGGTTTTCTTACTTTAACCCAAAAAGAAAAGTGTTGGAGGATGGAGTTACCACTATGCCTCTAGATATATAAAATTGTGTTCTAAATTGATTGCTGTATCAAAAAAAAAAGAGTATCAAAAATTGTAACGTGTGTGATTCATAAATAAAACACTTTATAAAAAACGCATTCTTGTAATTCTCTGACTTAAGGCGCGAGTGTGTTCCCACCCACACCTTGCCCACTCGACCTTCTCGCGTGTTCCTGAGGAAAAAAAAAAACCCTCAATTTCTGCCCTTGGTGCCCTCGAAAATAAACAATAAATTACGTGTCGCAAATAGATTTGTTCAGTTGAAAGTCTGCTTTCCTACCCTTAACATTAAAAAACTAAAATGTAAGCATTGTCCTCTTCCCGGCTATGGGTCAAACTTTTTAGTTCAATTAGCAAACCATTTGGCTCAGGTACACGAGCTGTCTCACTTAGAGAGAAAATATTGGCTCCCGTTTGCTAAATTACAAAACACCCATTAAGCTAATGGCTTAATGACAATTTTGTGAAGGGCTAATTTCCTGGTTGTTTGTCTTATCTGCATCTGGGATGGAGATAGGGAAATAGTTAGAATTCCTTGCAGGCTCAAACCATGCAATAAATGCTTTGTGATTCATTGTTGGTTCAGATAGCAACGCAGGAACATCGTCAGTCTTTGACTCAATTTCTACGCACCGTGTTAAGGCAAGTACGCTACTTTGTTATTTCTTCGTAGCATGCGTAGCGCTTACGTGTAGTTTTCTCTCTCGATGTGTAGTTATGGCTGAACCTCGGGCTTTGATTTTGGGGCACTCCTTCATCAGGCGTTTGCATGAGTTGGTACGTCTGCCTACAAACGCTTTACAGGAGGATTTTGACATCACCACCCCTATGAACCTGCGCTGGCATGGAGTAGGGGGACGAGCTGTGGCCAAAGTCATACGCTACGATTTGGAGATAGTCCGACAATTTTCGCCTGACATTGTTATTCTACAGTTAGGTACGAACGATATCAGTGATCGTTCAATCTGTTCTGCTCTGTCGGTTCACAGTTAGAGGACCTAACAAAGCTATTACATGAACAATTCGGCATAACCGTGGTTTGTGTGTGCCAAACTATACTAAGAGAGAACGCGCACTTAAACATACGCATTCGCACGTTGACGGATTATTTACGCGTTGTCCTACAGCCCCTTCCATTTGCATTTTACCGGAGACACAATGAATTTTGGAGGACAACACAGTCATTCTTATTGCACGATGGAGTTCATCTGAACCAACGTGGACAGTTTAAACTTTATCGAAGTTTGAGGGGGGCTTGGATCCAATCACTTACAGTGTTTAATAATGTACAAAGTTAGAGTCTTAGATCTGTACTATAGCTCATTATTTCCTCTTTATTGGACATACCGCCAAGTTAAATATTCTTTTTGCGTTGGTACTTGGTAGTGTAATTTGCCACTGTACTCACAACGTATTGTTTGTCCTTGAGCCTTGTTTGGCTGGTCACGGTCGATTTTATGCTTTGTCTCCAAATGAGTGGGCCGCCCGTGTTGCGTGCCATAGCACTCGGAGTCCCAAGCTATTTGTATGTATTTGAGGATACGAGCGTACAATCTAATGACAATTCTTAATTTTGACCTGTGGCAGTTATTGCGATACAACTACAGATTACGAGTTACACGAGAACATTAATACATTTGGATAAATTAACACTCTCTATTCTTTACAAGTATGCCTCCACGAAGCAAGCGTCCGAGACATTCTGGCCCTTCTGCCTCTACAGTAAACAGCATGGCAACCAGTACCGCTAGCACGTCGAGCAGCTTGTCAAATACTACCTCTAATCAACAAGACGGCATGATGCAAGTACATGTTACAGCGCTGTCCAGTGCCCTTTCTCTGGCTGTCCAAAAGGCCGTCCAGGACGTGCTACGACCACAACCGTCAGTAACACCGTCAACTAACGCAGCATCAACGTCGACCGTGGTGTCCGCCCACGTGCCTACTACAGCCTTGATAGTCAAGGATTCTCTTGTGCAAGCGATGCAAGCTATTGCGGGGACTTCTGTTGGTAATATTGTATCACCTAACGTGCAGAGTATGCCAACCACACCCCTTTTTTCAAGCGTCGCCATCCCCCTTGGAAGTGCAGTTAGCGACAAAATAAAATCCAAAATTTGGGCTAACGAATTTGTACACCTTGGAGCACTGCTTCAAACCGCGGTTCCACAAGAGCGTTTTGCTCTTGGGCTTTCGGCTACAGGCAATGGCAATAAGCCGCAGATTACATTAGAGCCAGCTAGCGCCCCACGTAAATTGAATAGTATTCAGCAGTGGGTCACGGCGTTCCACACGTTTATGGCCATTTATTGCCAGAAGTTCGCGGGGGACACGGCCGCTTTGCTAAAATATTGTGAGACTGTTTGTGCCATTGCAAACAAAAACGGAAACTGGGCTTACTATGATGAGCAATTTAGATTTTTGCGCCAGTCCGCCCCCGATAGGTACCCTTGGGAGGAAGTCCAGTGGGAGTTATGGCTCGAAGCCCCTTCAGTTAACTTGCCTTTTCGTCCCCAGAGAGGTAACTTTCCCGCCGGGCGAGTCGGAAAATCACGACAAATCCCTCTCGTTAAAGGAACATGCTTTAACTTTAATAACGGGAGGTTCTGTTCCGGATGTTCCTTTACCCACATCTGCTCCCGATGTGGAGGTAAGCACGCAGCCAGAAATTGTTCAGAGGGAGGGGAGCCACCAACCTCGAGCATTAAGCCTAGTGGAACAACAGCGGCTAGCGCGTCTACTAGAGAGCAATCCAGTCACCCCCGTAAGAATTGACCGTCTCACTTCAGTTCTGCGTGATTACGACCCCTTATTAAAAAACTTTTTGATACAAGGCTTCTCATATGGGTTTCATATTCATTACTCTAATTTAAGATCAAGCTTCGAATCTCCAAATTTGCTTAGTGCCAACGATCAACCAAACATCGTAACGGATAAATTACACAAGGAAATCGAAGCCGGTAGGGTTGCAGGCCCATTTAGCGCCCCGCCGTTCGATAATTTTGTCGTGTCACCATTAGGAATCGTCCCTAAGAAAGCACCCAATGAGTTTCGACTTATACAACATTTGTCATATCCGCATGAGAATTCGGTTAATTCGGGAATTCCGGTAGACTTTTCTTCGGTACGCTATGCGTCCATTCAAGATGCAATAGTGTTTGTAAAACGTTTAGGAGTTGGCTGTTATCTCGCTAAAACTGATATCAAATCTGCCTTTAGAATTATTCCT